TGAGTACAGTACCTTCAGAGTGCTGAAAAAAAGTAACTTCCAACTTATAATTTTATACAAAGAGAAAATTTATAAGGAAGAGAAAAAAAATTTTTTATGACAAGCAAAAACAGAGAGTTCATCTCAGGAAAGGAAATTTCTAAAGAATGTGCTTCAGAAAGAAAGTGATCCCATATGTTAGATATGAGAAATAACAAGGAAAATGGTTTTAAAAAAACAGATAAATCTAAATGAATCATAACTGCAGAAAACCACATTAAGCCTAAGAATTATAATGTCCTGTGAGATTAGAATTAAAATACTGCCAACCATAACATACAAATCAGAAGTGGTGAAATGGAGTATATGAAGTATTTGAAAATCTCTGTGTTATCTGGGAAGAGGAAAAGGTTTTGATTAACTTTCAATTTTTATTTATTAATCATACATGCTGTAATGTCTAGGAAAAGCCCTAAAAGAACAGAAACAGAGCCAGCAAATAAAAGAAGGAAGAGAGAGAAACAACAGAACAAATGGGACAAATAGTACCTATGAAGGATTTCAGAAGATAAATATGAAATAGAGTGAGACTTCTGTAGCCCCAAGAGGGGATAAAGATCTCGTGGTTTGGCAGGAAGAGAAGAGTTAGATGGGAAGCAAGGGTGAGCAGCTGTGGGTCCCTGAAGAGGGACGGCCTATCTTTTGCCTCCTCCTCACACCCCCTAACCCCCCGCCCTGGCTAGTGTGTTAGGTATCTGAGGGCAGAGGTGGCCTGTGCTCAATTTCGAGATAAAATCTGAAGTAGGACGTGTCACACGGTGTTATGCAGGGAGAGGGGCCCTTAGGTCACTTTACAGAGTTTCCCCAAACCCAGCATGGTAAGAGCAGCATTCCTTGGATCCTAGCATCCAAAAGCTCTGCAGGAGACCAAGCTGTTGAAAGTCACGTGACTTTGATCTAGCCTAACATCCACGTGGCAAGAGTGTTTATTGTGAGACCAAGAGTGGGACAGAAATGGAGAGACAGAGGCAGAAGATGGGAAGGAGGAACAGCATGACAGCAACCTATATTGTCCATCAGCTAAGGACCATTTGGTGTGATGGATGCTTCTGTGGATGCCCAGGTGGATAGCTGATGACTGAGAACCCGAATACCTACACTGGCATTCCAACCTCAGCTTTGCGTAAGTACTCAGAAACAGACACAAACCCAGGGGAGCTGAGGAGACCCTGATTTCACTGAGATTAAATTTCTCAGAAGGCAGGCTGTATCAGTATCAGGCACAAGTCATAGAAAACTCAATTCAAATTGGTTTAAACAGGATGGAGATTTGCTGGTTCACTTGACAGGGCATCTGGGGGCAAGCTGAGCTTCCAGTGATCTTGATCCAGTGGCTTGGATATACTTCCCCTTGATTGTCTTAGTCGTGGTTTCCCCTGGCGCTAGCTTCAACTACTCAGGTAGCGGCAGCAGTTTTGAACTCCTTATCGATGCCCAACCACACCCAGAAGAAAAGAGACCATCTTTTCTATACTTTCTTTTAAGAGAAGGAAATACCTTCCAAAAATCCTCCACAAACTGTTTGTATCCTATTGGCCCAAACTGAGCCACGTACTTATTCTAGAACCAATCCCTATCACCAGCAGAACACAATTGACGTAAGACTCAGTTCAGTTCAGTTCAGTCACTTAGTCATGTCCGACTCTTTGTGACCCTATGGACTGCAGCATGCCAGGCGTCCCTGTCCATCATGAACTCCCAGAGCTTGCTCAAACTCATGTCCTTTGAGTCAGTGATGCCATCCAGCCATCTCATCCTCTGTTGTCCCCTTCTCCTCCTGCCTTCAATCTTTCCCAGCATCAAGGTCTTTTCCAGTGAGTCAGTTCTTCACATCAGGTGGCCAAAGTATTAGAGCTTCAGCTTCAGCATCGGTCCTTCCAATGAATACTCAGGACTGATTTCCTTTAGGATGAAATAGTTGGATCTCCTTGCAGTCCAAGGGACTTGCAAGAGTCTTCTCCAACACCACAGTTCAAAACCATCAATTCTTTGGCACTCAGCTTTCTTTATAGTCCAACTCTGACATCCATACATGACTTCTGGAAAAACCATACCTTTGACTAGACGGACCTTTGTCGGCAAGGTAATGTAAGACTAGTCAAGGCTCATCCTTGACAAAGGTCAATCCTCCTAGTGGCATGGCTGGTACAAAATAAGGAGGAATGGAATGGATTCACAGGAAGACCACAACTACAGTCCTCCCCTTTAGTTGTCCAATATTCACACTCACCCTCCATGCTTCATTACACACACTTCAGAAACGCTCATACCTAATGAAATGTGCTCCAGCCCTACTGAAAAAAAGCACCATCCAAACTTCATCTCATTATGTATCCAGGTGCAAACCCAGCATTTCTGGGAGATGTGCAGGTCTCTCCATCGAGTCAGCTATGTGCACATGGATTTAAGAGAAACTGGGTGGGGGAATGAAGTGACTGTTTCTTGTTACATGCGTTTAGAAAACTCTGAGCCTCAGCCTCCTCAGCTATTAAATGAGATTAAAAATGTCTGCCATGGAGGCTGTGAAACTGACTTAAACTAAGAAACGACAAAAGGAAACCAATATGAGTTGTGTGTATTCACTTCTCACCTGCTGAATATAATAACCATGCTGCTTTTGCATCTGATATGCCAAAATCCTGGAGCTCAAAGTGATGCTCTTTGATTAGCAAAAGACCTATTATTTTTCCCCTGGGATTAGCCCTTCCCCCAACTCCTTCTCTGAGCTTGAGTCTGTTCTGCACACGGTCAGTTCTTTCATGTTGGGCTAGGGTCCCATGGCCCTTTGCACTGGCCACCCTCTCCATTGGCTGAGGTCACCCCACTGCCCACACCACTGACTATTCCACTTCCTTACTCCTCTGACCACAGACCTCTGAGGCTTCTGTCTCTCTCTTTGGCCAACAGAAACTTTCCACCTACTTCAGATCAGCTATTTCAAAATGGTTTCTCACAGTCAAAATTCTGACCCCCTAGAAATATCCTTCATTCCCTTGTACCAGAGCCGCCTTCTTCCCAGAGTCTCAGGGTGTGGAGTGCAGACTAGATTATGGTCAAGTAAAGTCTCACTTCCTCGGCTTCCCAGGTGGCGTTAGTGGTATAGAACCTGCCTGCCAATGCAGGTAGACATAAGAAACTCACTGGGTCAGGAAAATCCCCTGGAGGAGAGCATGGTAACCCACTCCAGTGTTCTTGCCTGGAGAATCCCATGGAGAGAGGAGCCTGGAGGGCTACAGCCCATGGGGTCACAAAGAGTCAGACACGACTGAAGCGACTTAGCATATATGCACACACACAGCCTCACTTCCCACCTGGCTTTGCAGCATCCTCCAGCATCCCAGCCCTGCTGCCCACTACAGACTTCTTTCACAGGCTGTGACTTTGCCTCTGGGCTCGCTAGCTGGCTCGCTTTCCCCTGTGCGCCCTTCCCAGTCAACCTTCTTCAGCAAAGCCCAGCCCACCAGCTGCATATGTTTAAAGGCCAATGACAGCCCAAGTTTTCTCCTGCAGAGGCCCTGGGTGGCATGCAAACTCAAGGGACTTCTGTCCTGAGAGGTCCGATTAGTCTACCTAGAAGCACAGAGAGAGGTCTTTTGAGAAGTCTGGGCCTCAGCAGAGCTGCTCTGCCCAGCCAACAGTATCCCCCTGCCTGTGTAATTTTCAGCAAATCACGTTCTTTGAACCTTGATTTCTACATCCCTAAAATAGCTAAAGCAGTGCTGAGAGAGAAATTTATAGCATTAAACACGTACATTAGAAAAGAGGGAATGAAGAAGATGGGAAAGATATTTTTAGTAATACAGAAAGGTATGCAGGACTGTTAAATGGAAAAAGTTTAGTTGATACGTTGCATCCAATGCTTTGTGACCCCACGGACTGTAACCCACCAGGCTCCTCTGTCCATGGGATTTCTCAGGCAAGAATACTGGATTGGGTTGCCATTTCCTTCTCCAGGGGATCTTCCCGACCCAGGGGTGGAACCTGAGTCTCCTGCATTGACAGGTGGATTCTTTAGCACTGAACCACCAGCAAAGCCCATATTTTATGGTAGTATATGCTGTAATATAGATAATTATTTCCCATTGAAATTTGTTTATAGTTTTTAAAAAAGCCATTACTGGTAATATAGTAATGAGCTGTCTTACTTAAACAGCTTAAAATTTTAATTTTTATAATGTGAACTTAGATGAGTCTTGTGGGGAATACAATAGTTTCCTCTGTTGCTACATTTCTTTTCCCCGTGTATTTAAAACTATTTTTGTGAGGGCAGGGGAGAAAGAGAAAGAGAGACAGAAACAGGGAGAGAGAGACTAATTTTCAATACCCACTCAATTAATGGAGGCTCCTAAAGGAAGTCAGGGCTGGAATGGGAAAGATGCTCTTGGATCCCGTCGGCTTGGTCTCTCACCGCAATCAGCCCAGAGCATGCAGCAGGGGAGGGGTGCGGCCAGGGGGGTCTGTTCTTTTCCATACAGGACGCTTTTGGGGTGGGGGGCTCCAGGTGTGTCTGCCCGTCTGTCTGTGGGTCTGTGTGTGTATCTGAGAGATAACACAGAGGGGTCTGTGTTCATCAGAATGCCAAAACACAAGCGTGGGTTCCTGGGCCTCACAGCTGGGGGGCCGGAAACAGGTTTCCCTCTTGCATCAGGGCCTCCAGGCCAGCAAGGGCAGGAGCAGGCGGGGTTGAGGCCCTCCTGCCAGGAAGGATGGCTCAAGGATGGTTTCTCCTCAAGCCCCCAGGCCTCTGGAATCCTTCTCTCCTCTCCAAATAAAAAGACAAGCTCCTTACCTGGGTGTGATTCCCAGCTCCAAAAAAAAAAAAAAAAAAAAAGGGTGGCGCCCGCGGCCATATTTAGGCCGGGCACGACCCTTCTGCTGCAGCTGCTCTTCCCGCCGCCGCCGGAGGCTCATCTACACTTTGGTACAGACCAAAAAGCAAGTAGTAATTGGACAGGAGAAGAATGGCATTGAAACAGGTTTCCAGCAGCAAGTGCTTTGGCGGACTGCAGAAAGTTTTTGAACACGACAGTGTTGAACTGAAGTGCAAAATGAAATCTGCTGTCTATTTACCACCAAAGGCAGAAACTGGAAAATGCCCTGTGCTATATTGGCTGTCTGGTTTAACTTGCACAGAACAAAATTTTATATCAAAATCTGGTTATCATCAAGCTGCTTCAGAACATGGCCTTGTCGTCGTTGCTCCAGATACCAGCCCTCGTCATGGCTGCAATATTAAAGGAGAAGAGGACAGCTGGGACTTTGGCACTGGTGCTGGCTTTTATGTCGATGCTACTGAAGATCTTTGGAAAACTAACTATAGGATGTACTCTTACGTAACGAAGGAGCTTCCCCAACTCATAAATGACAGTTTTCCAGTGGACCCCCAAAGGATGTCTGTTTTTGGCCACTCTATGGGAGGCCATGGAGCTCTGATTTGTGCTTTGAAGAATCCTGGGAAATACAAATCTGTGTCAGCATTTGCGCCACTTTGCAACCCAGTGCTCTGTCGTTGGGGCAAAAAAGCCTTTACCGGATATTTGGGAACAGATCAAAGTAAATGGGAGGCTTATGATGCTACCTGTCTTGTGAAGTCCTATCCAGGTTCTCAGCTGGATATACTAATTGATCAGGGGAAAGAGGACGAGTTCCTTTCCGATGGACAGTTACTTCCTGATAACTTCATAGCTGCCTGTACAGAAAAGAAAATCCCTGTTGTTTTCAGATTACAAGAGGGTTATGATCATAGCTACTACTTTATTGCAACCTTTATTGCTGATCACATCAGACATCATGCAAAATACCTGAATGCATGAAAAACTTCAGATAAGAGAACCTCTTCAGGATTATAAAATTGTAATAAACAGAATTGCAAGGAAATAAGATTTTAAAACTTTGGATTTCATAATGCTAAAAATGCTTCATTCTGTAGTTGAATCACCCTCTGAATAAATATATCAAACCTGCAAAAAAAAAAAAAAAATGTCCTGCCCAGAGCCAGACTAGGACACTGCCCGCCCTGCATCCACACGGAGCTCTTTCTCCTGAGCAGTCCTGCCCCTCCAGCGAGTCCCTTGGGTACCCCATCTCTGCTGGCAGCTGTCGCTCTTCCTGTCCCGCTGTGGCTATCGCCTCCCTTTACTGGGTCTGAAGGGCGCCTCGAATCTGCTCCTTAGGGTCTGGCGCCCTCTGCTGGCTCTGAGGATTCACCACAATCGTTAAAGGACCACCCGACCCGCCCTGAACTTGGCAGCTCATTCATTCCCCAAAGTCATAGGGAAAACTGAGACAGCAAGTGTGGGGAGTGACTGGATCCAGAACACAAAGCAAAGAAACTTCTTGGGCTAAGGCTTGGGCCTTCTGACCCTTCTTTCTGCACTCTCTCGGGTACACCGTCGTTGGAAGAAATGAAGAGATGGCAGACTTGACTCCAAGGCTGGGGAAAAGTCCGCCTTCCACATGTATCCTCAGGAGCCCTCCTGCCATGTTGGGGAAGGACTGAATGCTGAGCTGGACTTTTCCATTGCTGTATTCTAGGGCAGTGGTCCTACTGCCCTCTCAGATTAGTCAGCTCAGTCGCTCAGTCGTGTCCGACTCTTCTTGACCCCATGGACTGCAGCACGCCAGGCCTCCCTGTCCATCACCAACTCCCAGAGTTTGCTCAAACTCATCTCCATTGAGTCGGTGATGCCATCCAACCATCTCATCCTCTGTCTCCCCTTCTCCTCCTGCCCTCAATCTTTCCCAGCATCAGGATCTTTTCCAATGAGTCAGCTCTTCACATCAGGTGGCCAAAGTACTGGAGTTTCAGCCTCAGCATTAGTCCTTCCAGTGAACACCCAGGACTGATCTCCTTTAGGATGGACAGGTTGGATCTCCTTGCAGTCCAAGGGACTCTCAAGAGTCTTCTCCAACACCACAGTTCAAAAGCATCAGTTCTTTGGCTCTCAACTTTCTCTATAGTCCAACTCCCACATCCATACATGACTACTGGAGAAACCATAGCCTTGACTAGATGGACCTTTGTTGGCAAAGTAATGTCTCTGCTTTTCAATACACCTCAATACTCCCATCAGAGTGTGGATGGATTTAATGATGCCCTAGGCGTAGCCTTTGCTTCCCCAAATGTCATCATTCACAGCTTCCTTCGTGGATTTTGCATGTCCACAAGTCACTCAGACTATAATTTACTTAATACTTTTCTTTAAAGTGTCTCATTTTAAACTTCAAAGTCTGAGGGAATGAATCACCTTTCCCTGGGTGACAACCCATAGATGCATCTGGTTCCCTTGAAATTGTCTTTGAGCCCTTGCTGTCTGCATTTAGTGCAAGAAGACTTGATCCCACCCAGAATTCTTCCCTTTAAAAACAAAATGAAAACCATTATTTGCTGGAAAGGGTGTGGAGAGAAGGGAACCTTCCTACCCTGTTGGTGGGGATGTAAATTGGTACAGCCACTATGAAGAACAGTATGGAGGTTCCTTAAAAAATTAAAAATAGAGCTACCATATCACCCTGCAATCCAAGTCCTGGGCATTTATCTGGAGAAAAACATGATCTGAAGGATACGTGCACCCCAACATTCATTGTGGCACTGTTTACAATAGCCAAGACATGGAAGCAACCTAAACATCCATCGACAGAGGAATGGATAAAAAAGATGAGGTACATATATATTAATACAGGTATCTACCTGGTGGTCCAGTGGCTAAGACTCTGAGCTCCCAATGCAGGGGGCCCAGGTTTGATCCCTGGTGAGGGAACTAGATCCCATATGCTGCAACAACAACAACAAAAAAGATTCTGCATGCCTCAACTAAGACCTGGCATAGCCAAGTAAATAAGTAAATAAATAAATACATTAATACAATGGAATATTACTCAGCCATTAAAAATAATGAAATAATACCATTTGCAGCAACACTGAGGACCTAGAGGGTATCACGCTAAGTCAGATAGAAAAGGAGAAATATCATATTGACATCCCTTATATGTGGAATCTGAAAAGAAATGATACAAATGAACTTACAAAATAGGAAGAGACTCACAGACTTAGAAAATGAACTTATGGTTTCTGGGAGAAAGGGATAGTTAGGGACTTTGGGAAGGTCATAGACACATTGCTATATTTAAAATGAATAACCAACAAGGACCTACTACATAGCACATGGAACTCTGCTCAATGTTATGTGCCAGCCTGGATAGGAGAGGGGTTGCGAGGGAGAATGCTGCTGCTGCTGCTGCTGCTGCTAAGTCTCACCAGTTGTGTCCAACTCTGTGCAACCCCATAGACGGCAGCCCACCAGGCTCCTCTCTCCCTGGGATTCTTGCCCCAGGCAAGAATACTGGAGTGGGTTGCCATTTCCTTCTCCAGTGCATGAAAGTAAAAAGTGAAAGTGAAGTTACTCGGTCGAGTCCAACTCTTTGTGACCCCATGGACTGTAGCCTACCAGGCTCCTCTATCCATGGGATTTCCCAGACAAGAGTACTGGAGTGGGTTGCCATTGCCTTCTCCGGGGAGGAGAAAGGATACATGTATATGTATAAGTGAGTCCCTTCACTGCTCACCTGAAATTACCACAACACTGTTAATCGACTATCAGTTCGGTTCAGTTGCTCAGTTTTGTCCAACTCTGTGATCTATGGACTGCTACATGCCAGGCTTCCCTGTCCACCATCTTCTGGAGTTTTCTCAGACTCATGCTCATCAAGTTGGTGATGCCATCCAACTATCTTATCCTCTGTTGCCCCCTTCTTCTCCTGCCTTCAATCTTTCCCAGCATCAGGGTTTTTTCCAATGAGTCAGTTCTTTGTATCAGGTGGCAAAAATATTGAAGCTTTAGCTTCAGCATCAGTCCTTCCAATGACTATTCAGGGTTGATTTCCTTTAGGACTGACTGGTTTGACCTCCTTACTGTCAGAGGGACTCTCAAGAGTCTTCTCCAATACCACAGTTCAAAAGCATCAGTTCTTCGGCACTCAGTACTTTTTAGGGTCAAACTCTCACATCCATACATGAGTACTGAAAAAGCCATACCACAACACAAAATAAAAAGCATAAAGTTTGGGGTGAAAAAAAACAACTATTACTAGGGAATAAGAAACTGGTATCTTTCAGGTACCATTCTCAGTCTTCACTTACTGCTCATTACACTCTTTGGGGGTAGCTACTATCTAAATTGGACATCAAGACACAGACAGGCTAGTCCAAGGTCTCACAGCTGAGAAATAGTTGAACTGAACTGGATCATGCTCTACTTCCAAAGTCAACTGATGTGAACTTGCTGATCTTTTGAAATTAAAAGTAAAATGGGGGCTTCCCTGGTGGTTCAGTGGTAAAGAATCTGCCTGCCAGTGCAGGAGACACGGGTTCAATACCTGGTCCAGTAAGATCCCACATGCCGCAGAGCAACTAATCCTGTGCCACAACTACTGAGCTCATGTGCTGCAACTACTGAAACCCAAATGCTCCACAACAAGAGAAGCCCCGCAATGAGAAGCCCGTGCACCACACCCAGGGAGTGGCCCTCACTCGCTGAAACTAGAGAAAAGCCCATGCAGCAACGAAGACCCAGCATGGCCAAATAAACAAATGCAATTTTTAAAAAGTAAAATGATGCAAAGCAATAGTAAGAGATAATGACCTGTGCGGCATCTGTGCTTTGGAGGGACTCACTGTGCAGGTGGAAGGCAGACAGCAGACACAGGAATACAGTGGGGTGGGCCGTGTGTGATAGAGAGGGGACCAGGAGCAACATCCAGCATGTGGGTGTATAACAGAGAAGATGTGGGTCCTAAGTCCCAGGGAGATGGAGGGGGCAAGAGGAGCATTCCTGGCCATGCTTCTCCAATGCTGCTGGGTCCTCTGTGGCCCCTTCTGATCACTTACAGATCATTCAGTAACATTTCTCCGTGGGAGCCCTTCTTGATGGGGTGGCCCTGCCTGCAGCCTTCTCCTAGGGAGGGCTGTGCCCCTAAGGGACAGGCAATCAAGGTGGGGGTAAAGGTGCAGGTGGGAGGATACGCTGGACTCATAGTTCCACCTCTTGATGACTATGACCTTGGCCTCAGTTTCCTCCTCAGCCAAAAGTCCCATAGAGGTGCCCTGTGCTTCCCCTTCATGGAACAACTTGCTGCCCATCTATGGGGAGTGGGGTCAGCAGCCTCCAGCTGTCCGCTGCGGAGAACCCACACTCCCCTCTTGGGGCTGTGGGCACATCTGATGACTGAGTGAAGGCGGAGTGGAAAGGCCCACCCATTTTAACCCGGGGAGGGAGCCTCCCTCCAGAGTTCAAGGTCCCGGTGTCGATGGAGGCTTTGTTCCACTTTTGCCTCTGTCCTGTGCCACCTCTGTCCCCTCTCTTTTTACAGGGGCTGATTCCAAATAAACCCTTGGCACCCCCGACTCCCTCTCCGAATCTGTTTCTGGAGAACCCAATCTGTGACATATCCATTTTACACACTCAGGACAGAGGAGGCATGCCACCGGTTTTGATGAAACGAGGTTGGATGTTAATCTAAATGTGAGAATTGTCCAGCTCATCAGGACCTACCTTCTGACCAGACCAAGAGTCATTTTGGGAGGAAGTACTGAAGGCTGCAGGACAGTCAGGCAGCCTTGCTGCGTGATTTGGCCTCACAAAACCCAGGCAAATCACTCAAAAACAAAAGAGCTGAGGGGCAATTGAAGGAGGCTTCTGGAGAGAGAACGGTGCCGAGGAAGATGGGTGATGTTTCCAGCAATGCATCACTGTAGGCAATAGCTCCACAGACATCCACTGAACATACATTATGTGTGAGAGCTCAAGCTAGGAGG